GATCACGTCCATTTTTGGGAAGAAGTACAACTTCAGCTTCTTTGAATGGCGTAGGAAAGTACTCCAAGTTCAAACAAGCCTGGAATAGGTTCCTGACAAATGTACCAATTGTACTCCAGGAAGCCTTGAGGAGTCGAACGGTGATTTTGTCATATCCCAGAGCCGTTGCTTTACTTAAAATGGTTGATACTGTAAAGTCTTCCAGTGACACCTCTCCGCTCCATGGAATAGAATCTTGTTGATCAATATCTCACGTTTCTGTGTCGCTTTTAGTGTCGAACCTCGTAAGAAGGGAGTCTCGAAGTGCGATTGTCCGTTCGAGTGGATCTGAAAGCCACTGGTTTGGTGATATCTGGGGAGGGGAGGCTGTTTTGTCGACTTTGGTTTGGCCCATTCCATGTGTTTTGTAATAGAAACCAAGTTGGTGAGGAAAAAATCGATTTAATAAACTCTATGAAGAAGAGAAATCTAACTACAGCTACAAGGTACTTGTAACATTCAGTCCACTCTATGAGTCTTGTTGCTTATACCTTTTCCTTATGTCGATTAATTACCGCACAGCTACGCATTGCCCATATTCACTGTGCTATGACATTGCTTCGATCCTAACAGTCTCATCCTCAGAGTCCTCAACATTGCGCTTAGGTATTCACCTAATGTCAGGAACTGAGGATAGAGGTTACTGGGATATAATGGTTGCCATGGGTTACGAATCGAGTAATCGAGTAGTAGAAGGTGGACTTTATGAGACCTAGGTTGCTCTGGTTACTATGATGTATATATGGATTGGACAGAGCCGCAGTAGAGGGCCACGTCTTGTCTTCCGTCTTCCACTGGCCTTGTCTCCGATCCTAGATTCCCTCGTCCCTCGTCCTTAGTTCTAGTGAAAATCACAAATTTATACCTTTGACTCTTGCCAACTTCCTCAGATATTTCCCAAGCCACTCAGTAACACTCCCGATGCTACCTTCGGCACCCTCGAGTTTGACACTTAAGCTTAAACAACGGGTAAACCGTAACATGTTTGAACACTTGTGCTTCTGTCTCTGCTGCCTCGACTTGCTTTGTTCAGTATTCCTGTTTGGCTGACTTCACTCCGGCTCAGAAAACCCTGCGCGTCATTCCTACATCTCCGGATGTCCTTTTGGCTGTTCTGTAGTCAACCTGTTTTGATTTTTGATTTTGATTGAATTTAACGTCGTGACTACTGTCACGTACTGGACGGCCCAGTCCCTACAGAACTACCCGACCCTCTAGCGCGCATTTCAGCACCTAAAAATTACAAAAGAGTCCGACCAGCTGCCTGCCAAGGCTAGTTGGGGGATGGCAGGGATACCTGTGACTCGGAGGTGATAGATCAAAGGCCTAGGTGGTTTGGCATGGACAGAGAGATTGGATTCGAGGCTCAGGCGCGTGGTGGCTGAGGCAGAACAATGGAAGGGAGATTGTATAAGTTTTCCTTTTGTAATGCGGGATTTTGCGGGAAAGTTTTTGTTTTGTTTTCAATTCTGGGCTGCTGAATTTGGCATGGTTCAATACATAGATGCATTTTGGCATGGTTCCGGACATTTAGATGGGACGAGGCATTTGTACTGTACTGTTAGAATCTAGAATAATTGGGGCTGTCAAGTGGGCCACGTTGTTGATCTGCACGTGACTGCAAATTATGTACTTAGTTTCACTTTGGTAGTTACTTGAATCAATGCGCTCTACAACCTCAATGACTGAGGGGTCATTATTTCCTTAATATGTATGGTAGTTAACCTGATACGGCCCGACCCCACTCGTGCTCAAGCTCCAGTAGGAGTACGACAGTAGTTACTTCACCTAGCACATTAATGAACAAAAAACGCACAATTCAAGAAATTCCCGTTTTCTATTCCTATGATCACTTCTGTGCTTGACTTCTCGAATTCTTAACCGTCATAGGTATTTAAAATGCCTCCGGTGAGAAAAAATCGCCCAAAGCCGACAACTTCAGCCGGCTTTGAACGGACACCATTGTGTCCAAAACCTACTGGCCTCGCGCTAAAATTATCAAGCCTATTTGCGAGTGAGGCCTTTGTCCCCGGGAAGTCCACAAATCTTCTCGATCAAGAGATGACTGATTCTGAACCGATCAGAGCAGAAAAAAATGGTCCCAAGACCAAAATCCCCGTCGAGCTAGCCCCAGTGGCAAGCAGCTCCAGGAAAGGAAAGGAAGTTGTTCGAGAAAAGACAACCGAACGTGCAGAATCATCTACAGGAAACAATGCTGTTCCAGCCTCTAAAGGCGCAGCATCGACATCAGCAATGAAATTTCCACCAGAGCTGCAATCAGTGATGGAGGCCGAAAAGCGTCGCACGACGCATATAAACGCCCGACTCGCAATCTGCTCAACTGCAATCAGTAGTGTCGAAGCAGCACTTTCGCCTCTTTTGATTGGCAATAATACAGAATTTGTAGACGGAATCAAAGTCTATCTTCGAGCGGCCATCGGCCGGCTCGTACAATCTGGCCCAGGGAGCACAGCACCAGCTCTCCCTGCTCGCCCCGCCAACCCTCTTCCGCCGAGTGCACCAGAAACAAGGGTTCCTAACCCTCCAACAACCCAGGCCCCGGCCCCGAAGACAACTTGGGCGACCGTAGCTCGGGGAGGCCTAGCCCGCAGCGCTGGGGACTCGACAAAAAAGGCAGCACCGCCCGCCCCCAAAGCAAAGAGTGCCAACCCGAGGACAAAAGTCGATTCAAGATTTTCTCTGCGCCTCAACTACTTCCACCCCCACCGTCTCCTCTCCCCAGCTGGCATTAGGTAAGCTGTGTCTCTAGCACTGGGAACTACTGCTAATGATATTACGTTGGTTCAGCAGGTGAAGACCGGCTTTGCTATTACAGCAAAGAACGAAGCTTCTCGAAAGGAGCTCTTGGATTCCTCCGCACTGCGGAGAGATCCAGAAATACACCTGGAACCAGCATCAAATCTAGTTGCTATGCAAATTGCCACCGTTCCGGAGACAATTCGAACACTTGCTGGCCCCATTGCTGTGACAGCAAAGATGGTTGCCGACGAAGTTACGCGAGTAACCTAGTTGGTTTCCTTTCTGGTTCATCCTCATGGGACTAGCAAACCAGGGGCGCCCTACTCAAATTGACAAGCGCTCTTTCCCCGAGAATCCGCTCCTCGACCCGGATTCCGCCTTTTCGACAACTCTGGAGCTGCAAAGCTCTTCCGACCTCGTCGCAAAATCGAACGATGCAAACGGTGTCTTGAATTTCACGCCACCCGTGGTTGTTCCCGCGCTCCAGCTTGCTGGAATTGCGGATCTAATATGCACTCAGAATCAGAGTGCAAGGCCCTCACCCGGTGTCGAAACTGTGGGGGACCTCACCGATCGGATTCCCGGGCCTGCTTAGCCAGACCCAGCAAGTCCGGACCGGTGACAAAAGAGCAGCTCGCGCGGATCCGCCAGATCCAGCAAGGGGAGTTCGCGAAAGTGGCTCGATTTAGGGCTGCAGCCAAAAGGGCCGAAGAGGCAACGATGGCCTCAACGAAGGATGTCTCGATGGCCGAGGGATCGGGTTTCGGAATCCTGGAATCCGAAGAAGAAGTTTGAGGGTACAGCAACCCTCGGTGAAGTCTACAAAAAGCTTCAAAGTATATGGCAGGATACCAGCTGAATTCAGGGTATCTGCGAACTAGTCTTTCGCTCTCAGCGGAGATAAGAAAAAGTCACGTGGAAGATGTGGCAGGAAAGGGAACGGGCGAGAAGCGCGGGATCCGGACCAAACAGTATTTCTTCCAAATTTGATTTCAGTATTTGATTTATGTTTTTGATTTTAGTTTTGCTGTTAACTTCTACAATTTCAGTAGAAGTTCATGCGGTTGGAATGAGTTGGGCCTGTACGCAGTGATCCTTGCCGGCTCCACCGGTCCTTGACCCAATGTGGAAAAGATAGCGTTAGCTTAGGACCAAATGTAAAAACAAACAAAAAACAAACAAATTAACTGAGCCTTCGGTGATGCGGTCACTGGTAGAAGGCGGAGAGGAATCAATGTGTATATAATGCAGACCAACCAATTGGTATCTTACACGCGCTTAACAACTGAATGAGAGATATCCGTACAGCTAACTATATCCTGAGTTTAACCCGAAACCTGGAGAGCAGTCAAGTTCTATCAGAACCGAAAGTCGGAACGATGGAAAATAAGTCCCCAGGAATCGCCATTCCTACTCCACCGAAACCTGACAAGGGCCCAAAGCAGTCTAGCGATTCAAATGCGAAGTGAGCACATGGAGTTCACTTCGTATTTATACAGAAGAAAAGTACCCGGAGTCTACAGTCTGAGCTGTCCATATAGCTACCAATCGCAGAACCCCAAGTACATGATTATGTCCTGCCCTCGATGGTCAAACGGAAGAGGAGAGATCTGGAGACAAGCGAAAGATCGGTCCTACGAAGCTGAGCTAAGCAATCGTGGAGATATCAAAAGGATAACACAGTGGATCCTAAATCAAGGTTGGATAGAGCAATTCCAGATGACAAAGGCGGTCGAAATGCTGCTGAAAGAAAGGAACAGGTCATGCCTTTCTTGAGGTCGATAAATCTGATGTGATTGGGTTACATGGAGGGCACTATAGTGTAAATGCGCTTCCTAAAGGATACTATATGAAAAAACATAGAAATTTAGCAGCAAGGTTTGGGGAGTTTTTCACCAAAAGGTTTCCTCCCATGTAAATTAGAAAGTATGATAGACGCCTGCATGGCCCCATAGGGCGCCAAATCAGGATAATGAAATCAAATTCAAATCCTGAGTTTAATTAGCAAAATATTACATCTAATTGGGTGAGATAACGTAATTGCAAAATCTTTTGGAGAAACAAACCGCCAAAAATAGTAGAATTAGATTGAGTCATAGTTATTAAAGGTTCTTCATTTTCCTAATTTGAGGGATGCGAATCGATACTTTCTGACATGGCAAGTTCCTTAATATCTCAATCTTATCCACACTTTGGTTTTTTCAAAGATGCATTGGAGCCAAAGATAAGATTTTGGACCATTTTTTCTTTCGAAGCTCAGATCCGACCACACCTGAATGTCATCTTAGTCCAAGTTATCCTTGTAGTGATTTACAGAGCGAGAAAAGTACCGTTTAGTCTTGTACCAATAGGCTCTCCTGTTTTATTGATTAAAACGCATGCATTATCATCAAATTTAACAACACTGCCATCTGGTCTCTGTAGCTTTTTCGCTGTTCTGACAACAACAGCATGTCTTATATCACCTCTACGTACTTTATTGGCAGCTGATGTGGAGACTGAAGAGCCCGGTCCAGATTCAGGGCCAAAATTTCGTTGCTTTTGAACGACAACTATAATACGATCCCCTAGCAATGTATTATTTTAGTGAAGTAGTTCATTTATCAAAATTCAAGTTACCAATCTTTGCGTGTCGCTTCATGCGCATTACATTAACGCATTCTACGATGGCTGCGCCAGAGTTATCAATGCAGTTCAGCATTGTCTAGTTTGATTTTAGTGAAAATCATGGAGAAGTTGGGAAAACTGAGCATTCTGTACCTTTAGTTGTATCATCGTCAATGACAAAGACTCGTTCTTATTGAAATGGCGCGTTGTGTACACAGACGGCTTGATTGGTAGAATTTGGTCAATGTCGTGTCAGAATAATTGGGGACACTCGAAATCCGGTTAGAGCCTACCCGAAATCTGATCTCTGGCGTTAGGCATCAAGTAGATAGTTCATAGCTAACAATCTAATAAAGATTTACTTCACAAATAGTGAGGAGTAGAAAATGTATATAACATGTTTAACATTGTCAGTTGACCCTCAGAATTTAACTAACTACAAGTCATATCAGATTTAAAGTCGCAACGATCAATTATTAAGTCAATTCCCAAGCTATCTTCTCTCTGAACCGCACCACCAACAATTTCGACGCATCCTGTCATTGACATAGTCCCCAAATGCTAGATTATCAAAATCCAACCACACACCAGAGTACTAGATCACGAATGCTCATTCCTCCCACTAGACATCTACCTCAAACCAAGGAGGGTTCAACACATCGTATTTTCAGAAGGACCACCTATCAAGCAGACGATTCTATCCGCATGTTGTAAAATATCGCAGGCTTATAACCTGAGCGAAAATAGCCACGCCGAGGATCGAAGCCGAGATACTAACGAGTGGTCCAAAATCTGCAGCGACGAAAAGGTGAAGCGTAGACAAAAACAAGCGGGTTTGGTAGTTGCATTCCAGAGGTGAGAAAGCGCATAGAAGCTTTTCAAGGAAGATTAACTATCTTCTTATTAGGCGTCGGCAGACCGAGAACATTGGAATGCAGAAAGTATCGTCACCGACAAGAGAACAGGCAGAAAAAGAATCACCTACAGAAGCACACCCTCTAACATCCACCGAGACCTGGACAAGACCAAAAGCAGTATTGACATGCAGATAATGAGTGAGAATATTGGCCTCAAATCTTATCTATATAGAAGAAAGGTCCCTGGAATGGCAAATCCAAATTTTCAGTGTGAGTCTCCATCTCAAAACGTGAAACATATGGTCCTAGCTTCATATAACAGCCATAATTCACTGTGAGTGTGGTAGAAAAAAACTCAATCTGTCACCTTATCCAGTGTAGAAAAGCTCTAGGGACTAAAAGGCGGAAGACAGAGAGCATCTTCGCCGGTGGTATTGCTTGGACCAAGATGATGGCAGCAGTTCAGGGACAACGTCCAGGAGGTTGGAATATACGATATAGCTAGTCAGGGGATACCTCCGACTCGGAGGTCATATATCGAAAGCCTAGGTGATTTGTTGTGGAAAGGGGGGATGGAATCGATGATCGGGTGCGTGGCAGCTGAGGCAGAATGATAGAAGGGCGATTGTTAAAGATTTTCTTTTGTAATGCGGGATTTCGCGTAGAAGTTTTCTTTTGTTTTTTTTGTTTTCTGGGCTGCTGGAATTGTCATGATTCAACACATAGATGCGTCTCAGCATGGTTCCGGTCATTTAGGTGGGACGAGGCATACTTGTACTTCACGGTAGTTAACCTTATCCGGCCCGGTCCTGCTCGTGCTCAAGCTCTTTTTTTTAAATCATTTCATGTGTATTCAGCTATCTAGGTATGACACATGACCGGTCCTATGTGTACATGTGGGATGACTCTTTTGACGTTAGAGACACTCATACTCTGGATTTCATTCGCAAATACCACTATGAGGTATGTTCGCCTACACAGACAGTCAAGCCTCCTCCGTAAGTACTCACCAATGGAAATTTCAAATCCTATGATTATCCAAGCATTCCTTCGTCATCCATGCATAATAGCGCCTCGAGAAATGTGGTTGTGTTTTGCCGCATTTGAACCAGCAATCTACTGTCTCGAGTGGGATATGCGTCCAATCTATCCAGACTCTACTTGGCAGACCGGCCAAGACCATGTACCACCGCACCATTCAACCATGGCGGATTGTATGTGCTCAAGCTCAAGTAGGAGTGCGACAGTAGTTACTTCACCCAGCATGTCAAAGAACACAAACGCACACTTTTGAGAAATTGATGAAAATTTGCCTTATCCATCCATCCCACCCCTTGAATCCATATCTCATATATTATCATATCAATATCTCGTGGTACCGCGCCACTCATCCTTAAAATGACACTGGTACCCCCAAAATCCGTGAAAACCACAAAAATTGTGTTAGCCACGAAAGTAGGCAAACATAACCACCAGACGTGTCTGGATTCCCGGAAACATATGCTACAATTAGCCAGAAACGTAGCATCTCGGAAAATGAAGGATAGAGGACTGGTACCTAACGCCACCGATCTCGACGTAATGGAAGTCGACATTGTCACCCAGATGGATGAACGCGGCCTAACCGACATTGAAATGGTAGAAGCGGACAAAATTATACAAAAAATAATCACAAAGGGTCTTGAGGACTCGCAATGGGTATAAGCGGGGGCCGAGAGCTCCCAGAAGGCGTAAACTGCCCCAGAATTCGTTGAGAAAGCAGTCTCAGCGACAACGACCGAATCCGCACCCATTACGGCTCGAAAAATCGTGGTTCCGACAGCAAAGCGGACATTAAATAAAGTTACATCGAGGGCAACGGAAGTCCCGACTCACATAATGGCAGCAAATGCCTCCATACCTCCGCCACCCCCGGCCACAACTCCAGGGACGGCTGACCGCCACAATCACTCTGCTGGTGATGCTCCCACTTGCGCGACAATACAACATCCGTATGAAATTGAAGCTCTGCTTGAAGCTGAAAGGAAGCGGGCAACAATCACCTCAGCCAAGCTCGAAATAGGATCGACAGTGTTGAACACACTTGAAAGTGTTATCCTGTCATTGAAAACAACAGTGTCAAACTCGAGGGTACCAGGGGTTGTGTTTTATGGATAACTTAGAAGTGCGAGTGATATCTGACAAGATTTGTCATAGACTAAGGTATTAATTCGGGATTCTAGCTATAACTGAGGACAAGGGACAAGGTCAATGGAAGACGGAAAACAAGACGTGGCCCTCTACATCGGCTTTACCCAACCCATATATACATCATAGTAACCAGAGCAACTAAGGCTTCAAGGGGTGTGCCTGCTGCTATTATATTACTTCATTTGTAACCCATAGCAACCATTGTAACCCGGTAAACGCTCTAAGATGAGAGAATATTCAGATGTAGTATAGGGAAAGAATATGAGGGTACTGCTCTATCCTCAGTTCCTGACAAACAGATAACAAGGAATACTTGGACGCCATGAACGTCTGTCTAAGGGGCGCCCTCGCTCAATTCCTACGCATTGGAACCACACCATTACTGACAAGTCTTCCTCCCCGCCCCACTGGCCAGCAGGCCAGCACCAGCAGAACCTTCCCATCATCAATTGCCAGGCCAGCAAGGCCTGCCGTAGCGGTGCCCCAGTCAACGCCAACCTGGGCAACTGTAGCCCGAAAAGAGCTACCTAATCAGTCGACGCTAGTGATGGTTAGCCGTGCCCCAAAAATGACGACTCCGCCGACCAAGAAATTGGCCAAGACGGCCCCTTCGTCCTTGCCAGACAACCAACTGTTCCTCCGGCTGGGCTCAAATCATTAGCTGGCGAAAGATTTCGCCAGCTGGCATCAGAGAAGCTGTAGCGCAGCTCACTAACGCGCCACATGCAGCCATTGAGCACGTTTACTGTGTCCCAACAGATTTCGCACATCGAGCAAAGGACCAGGAATTTCGCCAGCTCCTATTGGACGTGGCGGAATCTTTCTTTCCCATAAAAGCAAGACTGGAGGAGGCCTCCAACTTTGTGGCGCTATGGATCTCGACAGCCCCAGTCACCAGCCACACTCTTCTTAGAAGGGTGCCAGTGACAGAAGAGATTGTGATCGAGGAGATCACCAGGGCTACAAAGGCCGTTCCAGTCAAAGTTCGGCCTCACAGAAAAACCAACCCTGACGCGCCATATCAATCATGGCTTGCCAATTTCAAGAAGGAAGCAGAACCTAGACAAGGGTTCCGCCGATTTGACACTTCGGTTGCTGCAGTCCGACATCAACCGCAATAGAAAGTGCAGCAATACAAACGCTGTCTACAGTTCCTAGAGACGCGTGGTTGCTCTCGCGCCCCAGCTTGCTGGAACTGCACCTCCACTGTGCACTTGACAGACAAGTCCTATACACACACGAAGTGCCGCAACTGTGGAGGACTAAACAGGTCTGACAGTCGACTCTGCCTGGCGCGCCCATCCAAGTTAGGGCCTGTAAGCAAAGAGCAATTGGCTACCATTTGTATGGCCAGCAAACGCGAGCTAGCGGCAGCTGTAAGGGCTAAGGCTGCAGTCCATCGCGCTGAGGAAGCATCTCAAGCGCCTGCCAGTCAGACATAAGTCTCACCCGGAGCAGAGAAATCAAATAACAGGTTCGAAGTTCTGATGACCAACATTGCCTCTGACGCCACAGCCACAGGAACAACAAATCCTGCAGAATCTTCCTGAAGGGCCCCTCACAGGTCCCTTCCAGCCCCCCACTTGCACTAAGTTTTATGTCAACCAATGTAGGTAGGGGAGGCTCAACACACGACATTGCGCTCTCCCGAGCTTACAAGCTAGGCGTAGATGTAGTGTTAATACAAGAGCCTTCGTGGAAAAAAGCCACAAAGGAGTCAAAGTCACACCCTGGTTACAACTGCCACATACCACATGGCGACGTAAACGTTCGATCCAGGACAGTGACTTATACACTAATAAACAGGAGAATCCATTCAGCAACCCAAATCTTTCCCTGCAATTCCCTGACAGCAGACTACTTCTGGGTTGTAGTAAACAGGGTCACGTTTCTCAACATGTACAAAGAGCCGAACAACCCAACAGCAATTTGACCACTCCTCAGCTGGGACCCACCAACACAATCTGTTGTAGCAGGCGACTTCTACCCAGTGCACTGTGCCTGGCAACCAGGGGCTACCTACCCAAGTAGACAAGGAATTGAAATCAAGAGATGGGCAAAACATCACAATCTCACTTGTCTGATTGTGGACGAGCCAACACATTATGCTGGGAACACACT